TCAGCAGTCGAATAGTGTTCATCTTCAGGTTAGATTTATTCAGGTATGCGATGTCTTATGGAAATATACAAAGCGGCTTAGAATACTTGCTGTGCTCGTCTGTCACTTAAATTTAGATATTTATGTGATCCAATTGTAAGCTATCTACAAAAATTTCCTTGGGATGTGTCATATATTTTTGTGGTTGTATCCTTTGATGTATATTCCCTACAGTCATAGAGCTGTTCATTTTTATTATAGTATATCAGCTGTCCCATTCAAAGTTTTGATGGGTCAGACTTTGTCACTTTTCTAATGTCCACATCGTTAAACCACGTGATATTCATCAGTTTTCGGGAAACTTACAACAGTTGACACTTATAACTCACCAATGAGTGATACTCTTGTGCCCATAGAAGCATTCCGCATTGGTTTAGAGTGTTCAGTCAATTCATTTTGTGAGCCCATAGATTGCCAAAACTGAACTAAGTTTAACAATAAAAACAAGTGTAACTGAGAAAAAAAATTGCTTTACCTAAATTAGCCCGTCAGACAAGCCCTCCCGAGACACAAAAAAATATCAAAAGGTGTACGGTGAAACACAAAATGTTTGTTATCCCAGTTATCTTTCATTATCCCGTGTTTAAGTGTTTCACCCCCTTTTCACTCTGTTCTGTATTCCAATCCACCTGTCCCCTTCCATTGTTATTATTATTCTTGATGTTGCGTTGGCACCATGCTTGTCCACAAGCCGGTGGTAGATATATATACATACCTTGGGTGATTCAACATTGTTCCCCTATTAGTCCATATTTCGTGATTTCTTGGAAAGACTGGTTCAACGGTTTTCACTGGGAGGTGGAGAACTCTGGTCTCGGAAATCCGTATTATGTTACAGACAAACGGTAGATTGGCTTCTGCAGTTTGAGTTGAAAATCTATTGTGAGTGAATGAACTGTGTGAAAATGAACAACAAAAGTACCCTCAGAATGGTGTCGCGCACTGTATAACTCAGGCTTTATGCATTTTTACAGCAGGTTAAATCAAGCGAAACAGCCTACCCAAATCCAATTACTAACAAACAACGTGGAGCCTCGGGATCAGAGTTTACGTGTGAGATGACACTTCTCGGTAAATTGCAAGCATCGATGTACTTATTTTCTCATTTGGAAAGAAAAAATCTTGAAATCGCCGTATTTGTAGCAATTGGATGGGAATCAGCTTCGCTCTGATTCACAGCATTAGTCGAAAAAATTATCACAAGCATTCAGCGAGGAAGTTTGGTGTTCTAAGGAAGCACGAACGTGTAACCCGGAAACTTAACTAAGTATTAAAAAACTGATTCGTCGGGTAAACTCCTCCAAATTCACAAGAATTCAAACCCAGACGGTGGCACCATATTTGTTCTTTGGAAATTCGGATAACATAACCCAATTATTTTCCTCTTGTTTGCTTGTTCCCGAACAGAAATCGTAATGTTGTCTCAGAATATACTTTGGTGCATAGTTATTTTCTAAAAGGCTTTTAACACAATGGGTATTTCCTTTCCTCCATGTTTCTTTCGTCTTTTTATTTGCTTAGGGTTGCTTCCTTTTCAATGCAATGAGCTTTGCTTATTCGATGAAAACAGTGAGATAACCATAGTATAGCCAGTGTTGTGAAATATTCAAAGAAGTGTCATCTGCTTGTGCTGATTATACTGGTCATCCAATCCAGATTCATTCATGTGACTAACTCGCTCATATCGATCCCACTGAATGGGATCAATTGACCATTTATTTTAGTCTGAGTGGGCTCTTGTTTTGAACAGAAGAATTCTTACACGGACTTTTTCGACGGATTTATACCTAAATCGAAAGAACTAAAATAATGTGAGTGAATCGTGGTTTACCTTTTTGTGTAAACTACTTTCGTTTGCAACTAAAACTGTTTGAAAATTCACTTTGTTGTATTAAATCTAAAAAACAATTATAAGCACGTTTATTCCTGATGGGTTCTAAGCGGTGTTTGAAAGTGTGTCAGTCAATGTGACAAGGTGTATACCGGTGAAATCCGGCTAGCTTCGTTTGGATATTGGTAAATCATCATATAACTGCCCTTTGTGTTGGAAATTTCTTGGTTAAAGACACATTACAGCTGAACACTGATAATAAATGAAGTCAGCGGAACTGATTAGTGCTGATCGTATTGTATAAGAACAGTTTAATTCTGAAAAAACTACTGTTTTAGTCCATTTTCTGATGCAAAATTACAGTTGTTAGTTATGGGCATGCTGGTGATACGTTTTATAAATAAATTTCAATATATACATGTAGCACTAATATGCAACTGCAACTGAAACCAAAACCTTTCTTAGTCACATATTTTTGAATATATATTGTTCCAATCTGAAATAATATTTGTAAAACTATGAAGTGTATATATGTACCCATTTGGCATCTTTGGGCTGCACCGAATCGAGCATCAAGTTTCCTAATAGACCTTCTTGGTATCAAAGTCCATACAACTCACATTTATGAATAAAAGAGAGGATTTTCTAATAGATGACTATGCGCTAATCTGCTAGCACACCTACTGAGACATGACTGAATCTCCCAGAAGAAAACCCAAAAGTCATTGAAGATAAATAAAAACGGGAATGCAATCTCTATGGGGCACCTGATGGACGGAAAATAATGTTCTGGCAAAAGACTCAATGTGAAAGTGTGAATTTACCCTGTTCAATACACAAATACAATAAATGTGTATGTGATTGATAAACCTTCGGCTGGAAGCTGCTCGTTTAAATGCCACAGGAATCCTCAACCTGATTTTCGGTTAGCCAAATCCTTCCTCCTAATGCGCTGTTATATAGAAATCGCACTTCTTAGGGGGGTAATTGTCCCGTTAGAGGACTGTTGAGTATACCCAATACATCTTATCACCTATGTAAGCTGGTTTCATTCGCTAACCGGCATAAACTCCAACGCATCTACTTAATCCAGTTAGTAAATTTAATCAGTGGACTGAATGGGAGGCATATCCAAACATGTCAATCACAGCGTTATACTCATGAACAGATTTTTTTTCTGGTAGTGATCTGAAATCAACCTCAGTGGTTCAGAAAAAACCAAAATTATAGCACCTAATCGATTTGAATGGATGCTATTCATTGAAGCAATAGGATACGGTCCACCGTTGACGTAATGCTAAGTCTCACAAAACTACATCGTTCAAGCACAATGTCGACTAATAAAATTCTTCCTGCGTTAACCTTCTAACATGAAATTACCAAGGTCAACGAGGATGCAGCAAGTATTGGACATTTGGCTGTTTGGATACTGTTTTATTTGATCTTCCCAACTAAACTCCACTTAGATTATTGAATCTGGCACTTAGAAAGCCATTTTGCGTGGATTGCCGATTATGAGGGCATTGGCGTTCACACCTCATCTGAAAAAAGCAAGCCGCGGTGGATTGTTTGAAGGCAACGCAGCAGAACAAAAAGGCATTTACTCTGAGCAATATCGCAGATTTTTTATTCGTGTCCCAGCGCGGTTTCATAAACTATCGATAAATTGTTTTCACTGCAATTCGATCCCTGAAATCATGATAACCAATACAAATATTCCATTTTTGCTTCCACAAAGTCACGAGAAAAATATCCTTGCAAAAGGGAATGTCTGTTCTACACTTTGGTACCCAAATTTGTTTACTAAATATAATGAGTGATTCATACTCAGCAAACGCCGATCCCTGACATGTTTTTTGTATTGAAAGAATCAGCGAGTACCTATTGATTTTAGCTGACTATTCTGCGGACTTCATCTTTACGCGCAATCCTCAGATCATCGATTTAACCATACATTCGGCAGCACTAGAATCGAATTTTGCTCTTCAGTAATAGTCAGTTCATTTTTGACCCGACAGTAACGAAGGGAGACACAGATGACACACTTCTAACTCCAATCGAAAGCCTTCCACCAATTCTGGACTTCCATGCAGGTACGGACTGATTCGCCAACTAACCTACAAGGATGGATTAATATTTCGCAATGGACTCACAGTAACTTGTGAGTAGTGGCGTGGGATAATTAATTTTTCTATTTATTTGGAATGACTGTCACTGAAGACGACATCTGAACAAACATAAATTGACAATTTGGTTCAAGCACGGTTTGAGCTGATTGGCGCAGTGGTAATGCACACGCTTTTTATGCTATGGGCTCGGGGTTCAAGCCGCGGAAAGGGAAGGTGGATATGCACTAATATTGAGCTCCAATAAGAGCGAAACTCGAATCTAGTGCTTCCGAATGTATGGTTGAATCGATGAACTGAGGGTTGTGCGTGAAGGTGAAGTCCGAAGGATAGTCAGCTCAAATCAATAGAAAAACCAATTATCCCACGCCAGTACTCACAAGTCAAATGCAAAACAACAAGTACCTGTTTTTCGAGGGAAGTGGCTGAGAATAAAGTACACGAGAGACTCATTTCAATCATTTTTGCAAAGTGATTCGCTTTTTGGTACCTCAGAAGTATCTGAGAGAGCTACAAATTCCTGTGGGGTGGTTTTTGTTGCTTTTAGAATTCAATGAGACGAGAACTGGTTGATGAGAGAGTGAGTAACGTTGTAAATAACTTACATGGCACAAAATATCGATTAACATTTTGTGTAAATAGAAACTAATCTAATTCCGGCCAACAGGATTAATAGGCAATGTTGTTGTCTCCTTGGGGAGGTAGTACTATGGGGCTAAACAAAACTGCGAGTCGGCTAATCTTTGTAACATCACAATTGCTTTATGAGAAATAAAACACGGATTGATGTTACTATTTTTGGTTCAAACCTAGCTGGAGTTACATAATATTCCATTTGTTTATTTAACATTATATTCGGCCTTCAAACCAATTTGGTTATGCGTGATTATATCGATGAATTCCATGGGGGAAAAACATGTTTCGGATCCGGTTTTCTCAGCATATCCGGTTTGGCCTGTTGAGCAATTGATTTCAAAGCCGTGTCAACAGTCACAAGGGTCTTCATGACTTCGGCTGAAGAGAATCGCAAACCATTCGCAGATCTCGGCCCGGAATTGCCCCCGGAAGAGGACTTTTTACGAAGTAAAGCATTACTACAGAGCATGCACGGTGGTGGCCCGGGTATGCACGATACGGGCCGCGAAAGTGATCCAACCACAGGTACACTGTACGAGCACATGGTCAGCCTGCTCAAACTGATTTTGGAAACGCAACCAACACATGCGTTGGATCAGTTCGAGGAGTTGAGTCGTCAAGTAAAAAAAGAAAGAGGGGGTGGAGCAGGAGGCTCAGGTGCCGGCGCTGGTCTCGTTGAGGCGGACATTGAGGCTATGGCCCCGACTGCGAAACCGGAAACGCTGGATTATATGCATGCCAAAGTGGAACGAACGTTGTTGCACGTGAGTTTTATCAATAGATAATACATGAGAAACATTTAGTAAAATGTGGGTTTAAAAAATAAAAACATTTTTTGTCAGTTTGTTTAGAGAAATAGGAGAAGGCGAGCAATCAACCCAAATGGTAGTGACTGAAGTTCTAGGTAAATTCGATGCATACTAACAATATTAATTCATGCAAGGCATTCCACTAGAATACTAGACTAGGACAAGTTAGTTTCTCTTGGAGTGAATGCCAAGCGAGTTCAGATGATGTTTTGATCTATTGTTTAGAACGAACATACATTTACAAACAATGGTCCGCAGACCATGTAGAAAACGGTGTTCGCGAAAAAATTTCTTTTCGATGTATCGAATTAGACGTAGTAGAGTTATCTGATTGGCCGATTAAATCTCAGTTGATATCGATGACGAAGGACAGCGAACAGAGCAAGCGAATATGACAAGGCTAGTGAAAATACTGTGATTAACTGCCAGAGGCGAAAAACAATGAGTGAGGGGTAAATAATCACGGGAAACACCGTCTTCATTATCTGCCTTCCACTAAGTGATAATAAATTCAGCTCTTTTCCCCAACCGTTATTCGTGTCATCAAACCTTTAGCTGTATTCCAGGTTGCCTCAACTAGGAATAAAAACCGCAGCCTCCCTATGCTCAGTGTACATTAACAATTCTATTTGAGTGCGAATAAACTTAACTTTGGTGAACCAAACTTCAGTTACTTAAACACGTTTAGGAGATTATTTCAAATTGGGTGGCATGTTGTCTGATGCGACTTGCGTTGAATTCAAATTAAGATGATAGTAACAGCGTTTATAAAACTACGTCGTGATCAATGATTGCGATACCTTCCCGTGGCACGCCATCATTAGAGCAACATCCAAACTCATAAAAGGGCGTTGGTGTCCCGGTGGTAACGTCACCAAATCATCACCCCGGGGATATGTATTCGAATCCCACCACCACCGCCTGACTTCCCTGTTGTGTGTGGAATGGCAGCCCTTTGATTGGCCGCTTCCTCCTTCCTGAAAATTATATCTTTGTATATTAATAAGAGGAAGTAAAATGAAAAAATTATCAAATGTTTCAGTATTGCCGAAGCGGTTGCTGTAAAATGAGGGAGCCCTCCCTCGAGCAAAGAAAAATCAAGTTTGTGAGTTTACTTCAACGGCATGAATATATCCAAACATTATGCTCTAAATTGGTGAGTTTCTCTTTATCGTAACCATACTTTGTTTTAGTTTTATGTTTTATCATGTTTGTAGCCTCAAAACGAGATTAATTTTGCAAACGAAATTATGGTGCACATAGGTGGGTGCAATAAAACAACATACTAGTTTTCCCCAACCAATTTCCCAGCGGCCATTAACAAGCTTGCTAGAACTGCATCAAATGCAGTGTCATTCAGCCGGGTATGGCTGCACTGTAATATCGAATGTATTTTTTTAACCTCATAAGAATCAAATGCTTGACAGAAATAATAAAAGTATCACCATTACGCGAACGCAAGCCAATATGACCTAATGGAAACGCGAAACATTGTAAAACAGTCATTTGGCCGAACCTAAACTAAAGTACGTTCTACGCGAATGTGTAAATCGAATAAACTTGGATCATAAGTATACGTTTTATTGCTTTGGAGTTCTGCAAAACATCAAATATTCCATCTGGTTCACACATACGAGCCAAGTGCACGACATTTTGAGGTTGAATCGTTTCATCTTTGGTGTGAAGCAGAACTTCACTAAGGACAGGCTTTCAGTCCTGTTAGAACCGCTAGATGTTGAACGGAACAACGAAACGATTTGGTTAGTCAAATTGGTTTGCTCAGATTTATAACAAAAGCTGGGTTAAAAATTGAAATAGTTTTATACCTTTGGACACAAAAGATTACTTCACAGTTTGCAGAAGTCAACGGAGGGCTTTCAACTCAAAGTAATTTGATAGCCTATTACAGTTTGTTCTCTTAAATTGACAGCAACCTGATTAAAAATTTTTAGAACAAATCAGTTACATATGGTGAATGATATTGTTTCATTGATCGTTTGAATTCATCGACACGTTGGATTATTTAGCGCCGTTTGTGTGTACGTCTCATCTATTGAACAATAAATACATACATATATGTATAATAAAATGTTCAAGGAATTGATAAGGATATCAAACATCTTGTGAAGAGCAAGAAAATTGCTTTCCACTGTTGGCTGAAGCTGAACTGGCGAGTCCGGCCATAATACATCGTCTTGTATAATCAATACAGATATTGAGTAACTGAAATTTCTATTGATGGTTGAGTGATTATATACAAACCGCTATCACTTGTTGTCCTTCAGATGCGTGCATTCTGTCTAATCCGTGGCTTAGTCTCGCAGGCACTCATTCCGTAATCCGTTCATGGATTGAAGGCTTTGGAATAACGATTTTTTCATTGTGCGCACTTCAGAAGAGGGAACATATTGTGATGGAAGGCAGCTCAAAGAGAGTCCTGGCTAGCGACCGAAGCAAGAATGAGGCCCATCCGACCAGACGCACAGACGCAGTGGCGGGAAGTACCTCGCGAGACAATGTTGACTGCCACCCGAAACGAGTGAATCGACAATTACAGCCCGAAAGACAATCCGCCAAACGTGTTTGCAGGCGGAGATGTGGAGAAATGGATTCGCGATTTTGAATTAATCGCATCGTGCAACGGCATCAAAGGGAGTGCGCACATGGTCACCGCGTTGGGGTCACTGCTCACCGGACGAGCGAGGGCCGCTTACGACTTGAAGAATTTGGAAAGCAACCGAGCCCTAAATTATGAGAATTTAAAATCCGCATTGGTGGCAGAATTTTCAAAGGAGGGTGACCGCGAGAAGGCGATGAACCGGTTTTAC